CTGAACCTTGGGGTACCCCACTAATAACACTGAACCTTGGGGTACCCCACTAATAACACTGAACCTTGGGGTACCCCACTAATAACACTGAACCTTGGGGTACCCCACTAATAACACTGAACCTTGGGGTACCCCACTAATAACACTGAACCTTGGGGTACCCCACTAATAACACTGAACCTTGGGGTACCCCACTAATAACACCCCACTAATAACACTGAACCTTGGGGTACCCCACTAATAACACTGAACCTTGGGGTACCCCACACTAATAACACTGAACCTTGGGGTACCCCACTAATAACACTGAACCTTGGGGTACCCCACTAATAACACTGACCTTGGGGTACCCCCACTAATAACACTGAACCCTGGGGTACCCCACTAATAACACTGAACCTTGGGGTACCCCACTAATAACACTGAACCTTGGGGTACCCCACTAATAACACTGAACCTTGGGGTACCCCACTAATAACACTGAACCTTGGGGTACCCCACTAATAACACTGAACCTTGGGGTACCCCACTAATAACACTGAACCTTGGGGTACCCCACTAATAACACTGAACCTTGGGGTACCCCACTAATAACACTGAACCCTGGGGTACCCCACTAATAACACTGAACCTTGGGGTACCCCACTAATAACACTGAACCTTGGGGTACCCCACTAATAACACTGAACCTTGGGGTACCCCACTAATAACACTGAACCTTGGGGTACCCCACTAATAACACTGACCTTGGGGTACCCCACTAATAACATTCAGAGTATGAATACCCCACTACTCTCTGAAACACTGAACCTTGGGGTACCCCACTAATTCAGATTTTCCAGCCCTTGTAGGGTACCCACTAATAACACCGAACCTGTGGGGAACTGTGTCCAAGTATACCACGTCCCCGCCACCCCTCTGTCCAAGTATACCACGTGGGGTACCCCACTAATAACCACTGAACCCCACCCCTCTGTCCAAGTATACCTGTCCACCGCCACCCCTACCCCTCTGTCCAAGTATACCACGTCCACCGCCACCCCTCTGTCCAAGTATACCACGTCCACCGTCCACTAACCACCCCTCTGAACCTTGGGGTATACCACGTCCACCGCCACCCCTCTGTCCAAGTATACCACGTCCACCGCCACCCCTCTGTCCAAGTATACCACGTCCACCGCCACCCCTCTGTCCAAGTATACCACGTCCCTTGGGGCCACCCCTCTGTCCAAGTATACCACGTCCACCGCCACCCCCTCTGTCCAAGTATACCACGTCCACCGCCACCCCTCTGTCCAAGTATACCACGTCCACCGCCACCCCTCTGTCCAAGTATACCACGTCCACCGCCACCCCTCTGTCCAAGTATACCACGTCCACCGCCACCCCTCTGTCCAAGTATACCACGTCCACCACCGCCCCCCCCTCTGTCCAAGTATACCACGTCCACGGGTACCCCCACCCCCTCTGTCCAAGTATACCACGTCCACCGCCACCCCTCTGTCCAAGTATACCACGTACCCCACTAACCCACCTGCCACCCCTCTGTCCAAGTATACCACGTCCACACCACCACCCCTCTGTCCAAGTATACCACGTCCACGCCACCCCCCCTCTGTCCAAGTATACCACGTCACGTCCACCGCCACCCCCTCTGTCCAAGTATACCCACGTCCACACCCCACCCCTCTGTCCAAGTATACCACGTCCACCGCCACCCCTCTGTCCAAGTATACCACGTCCACCGCCACCCACCCCTCTGTCCAAGTATACCACGTCCACCGCCACCCCTCTGTCCAAGTATACCACGTCCACCGCCACCCCTCTGTCCAAGTATACCACGTCCACCGCCACCCCCCCCCTCTGTCCAAGTATACCACATCCACCACCCACCCCTCTGTCCAAGTATACCCACGTCCACCGCCACCACCCCTCTGTCCAAGTATACCACGTCCACCGCCACCCCTCTGTCCAAGTATACCACGTCCACCGCCACCCCTCTGTCCAAGTATACCACGTCCACCGCCACCCCTCTGTCCAAGTATACCACGTCCACCGCCACCCCTCTGTCCAGTATATACCACGTCCACCGCCACCCCTCTGTCCAAGTATACCACATCCACCGCCACCCCTCTGTCCAAGTATACCACGTCCACCGCCACCCCTCTGTCCAAGTATACATCCACGTCCACCGCCAGCCACCCCTCTGTCCAAGTATACCACGTCCACCGCCACCCCCTCTGTCCAAGTATACACCCACGTCCCCCGCACCCCTCTGTCCAAGTATACCACGTTCCACCGACCCCCACCCCTCTGTCCAAGTATACCACGTCCACCCCGCCACCCCCTCTGTCCAAGTATACCACGTCCCCCGCCACCCCTTGTCCGAGTATACCACGTCCCACCGCCTGCCCCTCTGTCCAAGTATACCACGTCCCACCGCCACCCCTCTGTCCAAGTATACCACGTCCACCGCCACTCCTCTGTCCAAGTATACCACGTATCCCGCCCCCCCTCTGTCTTTCCAAGTGTACCACGTCCACCCCACCCCTCTGTCCAAGTATACCACACCATCCTCCACCCCTCTGTCCAAGTATACCATGTCCACCGCCACCCCTCCTGTCCCCTGTCCAAACCATACCCCCTCCACCGCCACCGTTGTACTCTGTCCAAGTTGTACATATACCATGTCCACCCACCTGCCACCCCTCTGTCCAAGTATACCACGTCCACCGACCCCCCCCTGTCCAAGTATACACACGTCCACACTCCACCCCTGCACTGTCCAAGTATACCACGTCCACAGCCACCCCCCTCTGTCCGAGTATGCCACATCCACGCCACCCTGACCCTCTGTCCACGTATACCACGTCCATGCCACCCATACTCTGACCCTCTATGCACTACAAGTATACCCTGTCCACTATAACTACTACACCCTGTTGTACAAGTATACACGTCCCCGCCACCCCCTGCTGTACTCTGTAGTATAACATGTACCACCGCCCTGACCCCTGTCCAAGTATACCACGTCTACCTACATTACCCTCCTGTCCACTATATACCACATACCACCTGACCCCTGCACTATATACTCTATGTTGTACATTACATACTCCACCCCTGCACTATATACTCTATGTCCAAGTATAACCACGTCCTGACCCCTGCCACCCCTCTGTGTTGTACATACACCTCCTGACCCCAATCTGCACCTATATACTCTATGTTGTACATCCCAGCTCACTCCTGACCCCTGCACTATATGTCTCTATAGTTGTACATTACATACTCCTGATTACACTATAATACTATGTACTACATTACATACTCCTGACCCCTGCACTATATACTCTATGTTGTACATACATACTCCTGACCCCTGCACTATATACTCTATGTTGTACATTACATACTCCTGACCCCTGCACTATATACTCCATGTTGTACATTACATACTCCTGACCCCTGCACTATATACTCTATGTTGTACATTACATACTCCTGACCCCTGCACTATATACTCTATGTTGTACATTACATACTCCTGACCCCTGCACTATATACTCTATGTTGTACATTACATACTCCTGACCCCTGCACTATATACTCTATGTTGTACATTACATACTCCTGACCCCTGCACTATATACTCTATGTTGTACATTACATACTCCTGACCCCTGCACTATATACTCTATGTTGTACATTACATACTCCTGACCCCTGCACTATATACTCTATGTTGTACATTACATACTCCTGACCCCTGCACTATATACTCTATGTTGTACATTACATACTCCTGACCCCTGCACTATATACTCTATGTTGTACATTACATACTCCTGACCCCTGCACTATATACTCTATGTTGTACATTACATACTCCTGACCCCTGCACACTATATATACTCTATGTTGTACACATTACATACTCCCTGACCCCTGCACTACTATATACTCTATGTTGTACATTACATACTCCTGACCCCTGCACAATATATACTATGTTGTACATTCCATACTCCTGACCCCCTGCACTATATACTCTACTCTACATGTTGTACATTATATACTCTACTGTACATTACATACCTGACCCCTGCACTATATACTCTATGTTGTACATTACATACTCCTGACCCCCCTGCACTATATACTCTATGTTGTACATTACATACTCCTGACCCCTGCACTATATACTCTATGTTGTACATTACATACTCCTGACCCCTGCACTATATACTCTATGTTGTACATTACATACTCCTGACCCCTGCACTATATACTCTATGTTGTACATTACATACTCCTGACCCCTGCACTATATACTCTATGTTGTACATTACATACTCCTGACCCCTGCACTATATACTCTATGTTGTACATTACATACTCCTGACCCCTGCACTATATACTCTATGTTGTACATTACATACTACTCCTGACCCCCTGCACTATATACTCTATGTTGTACATTACATACTCCTGACCCCTGCACTATATACTCTATGTTGTACATTACATACTCCTGACCCCTGCACTATATACTCTATGTTGTACATATACACTACTCCTGACCCCTGCACTATATACTCTATGTTGTACATTACATACTCCTGACCCCTGCACTATATACTCTATGTTGTACATTACATACTCCTGACCCCTGCACTATATACTCTATGTTGTACATTACATACTCCTGACCCCTGCACTATATACTCTATGTTGTACATTACATACTCCTGACCCCTGCACTATATATACTCTATGTTGTACATTACATACTCCTGACCCCTGCACTATATACTCTATGTTGTACATTACATACTCCTGACCCCTGCACTATATACTCTATATTGTACATTACATACTCCTGACCCCTGCACTATATACTCTATGTTGTACATTACATACTCCTGACCCCTGCACTATATACTCTACTCTATATTGTACATTACATACTCCTGACCCCTGCACTATATACTCTATGTTGTACATTACATACTCCTGACCCCTGCACTATATACTCTATGTTGTACATTACATACTCCTGACCCCTGCACTATATACTCTATGTTGTACATTACATACTCCTGACCCCTGCACTATATACTCTATCTATGTTGTACATTACATACTCCTGACCCCTGCACTATATACTCTGTTGTACATTACATACTCCTGACCCCTGCACTATATACTCTGTTGTACATTCCATACTCCTGACCCCTGCACTATATACTCTATGTTGTACATTACATACTCCTGACCCCTGCACTATATACTCTATGTTGTACATTACATACTCCTGACCCCTGCACTATATACTCTATGTTGTACATTACATCCTCCTGACCCCTGCACTATATACTCTATGTTGTACATTACATACTCCTGACCCCTGCACTATATACTCTATGTTGTACATTACATACATACTCCTGACCCCTGCACTATATACTCTATGTTGTACATTACATACTCCCTGACCCCTGCACTATATACTCTATGTTGTACATTACATACTCCTGACCCCTACTATATATACTCTATGTTGTACATTACATACTCCTGACCCCTGTACACTATATACCCCTGCACTATATACTCTATGTTGTTGTTACATACTCCTGACCCCCTGCACTATATACTCTATGTTGTACATTACATACTCCTGACCCCTGCACTATATACTCTATGTTGTACATTACATACTCCTGACCCCTGCACTATATACTCTATGTTGTACATTACATACTCCTGACCCCTGCACTATATACTCTATGTTGTACATTACATACTCCTGACCCCTGCACTATATACTCTATGTTGTACATTACATACTCCTGACCCCTGCACTATATACTCTATGTTGTACATTACATACTCCTGACCCCTGCACTATATACTCTATGTTGTACATTACATACTCCTGACCCCTGCACTATATATACTCTGTGTTGTACATTACATACTCCTGACCCCTGCACTATATACTCTATGTTGTACATTACATACTCCTGACCCCTGCACTATATACTCTGTGTTGTACATTACATACTCCTGACCCCTGCACTATATACTCTCTGTTGTACATTACATACTCCTGACCCCTGCACTATATATCTATGTTGTACATTACATACTCCTGACCCCTGCACTATATACTCTATGTTGTACATTACATACTCCTGACCCCTGCACTATATACTCTATGTTGTACATTACATACTCCTGACCCCTGCACTATATACTCTGTGTTGTACATTCATACTCCAGACTCCTGCTTTCCCCCCTCCCCCCCACTGCTATATATATACACATAATATGGATTCTCTTTGTTACACCCATTTCCTCCCAGCTGGACATTTTATATCGGATGATGTGATTGGAGCACAGACTTTTACATGGTGATAATAATGTGATAACATCCTCCAACTTTGGACCCTTAAACAGAAAGTGATAATGAGGGAGGAGTCAATACCCCAATGATGGTGGTCTTCAGGATCAGTCCAGTCTTCATCTTGGTTGTTCTCCCCCCATCCTCACTCTCTGACCTCTGGTGGGGCTCAGCCCCGCTGTTCTTCATGACTAAATCATGGACTAAATAAGGAAGTGCAGTACTTCTTGTGTTGGGAAGATGGCGATGAGTGATAGAGGGGGTGGGGACCCTCGTCCTATAATCCCCTCATCACTGTCCCTCCTATAAAAGACAGTTCTGGTTGTTTCCTCACTCTCTGACTAAGGTCCATGAATAAAGAAATGACCTGGTAGGAGATCAGAGGAGCCATTTCCTAGTTCCCTTGAGGGTGGAATTGTAAGCTCCTCAGAGACCAAGCTGCCTGATGTGGGCGGAGTCCTGGTTTGGGGGAACCAATCAGCTCCTGTCTAGTAATCCTCTTTGTCTTTGTATTTTAGTCCATGGCCGGGAGATGAGGAAAACCTCCGAGGATTGTCTCACTTTGTCTCCAGACTGGAAAGTAGAAGATGAGGACATCACACAGTATAGTCCAGGAGAAAACCCGGCTCCCTCCAATGTCCATCCGGCACCACCCAGTGTAGATGGACCATCGGATTCGTCGTATCCTGAGGAACCTCAGACTGTGCGGGACCGGGCCGGCCTTCCAACAGGGAAGAGCATCTCCTGTACTGAGTGCGGGAAGGTTTTTTCAAAGAAGTCCAATCTGTACACACATCAGAGATCTCACACAGGGAGAAGCCGTATTCCTGTCCTGAGTGCGGGAAATGTTTTTCATTGAAGTCCAATCTTCATAGTCATCAGAGATCTCACACGGGGGAGAAGCCGTATTCCTGTCCTGAGTGCGGGAAATGTTTTTTTACATAAGTCCAGTCTTTCCAAACATCAGAGAACTCACACGGGGGAAAAGCCGTATTCCTGTCCTGAGTGTGGGAAATGTTTTTCATTGAAATCCAGTCTTTACAAACATCAGAGATCTCACACGGGGGAAAAGCCGTATTCCTGTCCTGAGTGTGGGAAATGTTTTTCAGAAAAGTCCAGTCTGCATACACATCAGAGATCTCACACGGGAGAAAAGCCATATTCCTGCCCTGAGTGTGGGAAATGTTTTTCAGATAAATCCTGTCTGCACACACATCAGAGATCTCACACGGGGGTAAAGCCGTATTCCTGTCCTGAGTGTGGGAAATGTTTTTCAGACAAGTCCCATGTTTCCAGACATCAGAGATCTCACACGGGGGAGAAGCCATATTCCTGTCCTGAGTGCGGGAAATGTTTTTCACAGAAGTCCGATCTTTACAGACATCAGATATCTCACACGGGGGAGAAGCCATGTTCCTGTCCTGAGTGTGGGAAATGTTTTTTCAGAGAAGTCCAGTCTGCGCAAACATCAGAGATCTCACACTGGGGAGAAGCCGTATTACTGTCCTGAGTGTGGGAAATGTTTTTCAGTGAAATCCAGTCTCTACAAACATCAGAGATCTCACACGGGTGAAAAGCCGTATTCCTGTCCTGAGTGTGGGAAATGTTTTTCAGATAAGTCCAGTCTGCACACACATCAGAGATCTCACACGGGGGAAAAGCCGTATTCCTGTCCTGAGTGTGGGAAATGTTTTTCAGAGAAGTCCTATCTTTACAGACATCAGAGATCTCACACGGGGGAAAAGCCGTATTCCTGCCCTGAGTGTGGGAAATGTTTTTCAGATAAGTCCAGTCTGCACACACATCAGAGATCTCACACGGGGGAAAAGCCGTATTCCTGTCCTGAGTGTGGGAAATGTTTTTCAGATAAGTCCCATCTTTCCAGACATCAAAGATCTCACACGGGGGAGAAGCCATATTCCTGTCCTGAGTGCGGGAAATGTTTTTCACAGAAGTCCGATCTTTACAGACATCAGAAATCTCACACAGAGAGAAGCCATATTCCTGTCCTGAGTGAGGGAAATGTTCCTCACTGAAGTCCTGCCTTCCTGTACATCAGGGGTCCCACACAACCCTGGAGGTGTATTAGTGCCTTGAGTGCGGGAAATGTCTTCTAGATGAATGTTGCTGGACATCCCAGCTCTCATGTGGGAAAGAAGCACACCCTGATATACACCTTAGATATACTCCATGGCTGATCTTCATCATGGAAGTGTGATGGATTTGGTAAAATGCCTATTTCGTTTCCTATTGAATATATATATATATATACGCTATTTCTATAAGTTTTATAAATATTTACTTTTATACTTTAATACATATGTTGTGTGAATATTTTCTGCCTGCTGGGCTTTGTGGTACTTTAAGAAATCCTTGCTTAAGAAATATTTGCTCACAGGAACAGACCCCCTCCCACCGTGTGATTTGGAAGACAAAAGAATGTTTTTCTCTCTTTTTAAGATAAGACTGAAGAAGATCACACCTATACCATGACGGAGATTGTTTTTCGTGTAAAGTGACCAATCAAAGACTAATATAATGCTTATGCTGTTTATCACGTGATCTTCGCATCAATTTTCATATATAAACTCACGGATTCATTTCAATAAATTAGAGAGAAGTTTTCACAGACCAAAGGTGTCAGTGTGAGTTTCTTTATGTGCGCACATTCCACAAGCTGGCCAGCGTCATAAATTTTGGACAGGAACAGATAAGCACTGGATGATTAAGTCCATGACTAAAACAATTTGGTGCCAAGAAACCCGGGAACTGAATAATGAACCTGCAGCCAGCCGCCATGAAAAGGCGTTCGGTGTCAGTCAAACTGGACAGGCCGGAGAGCTTGAATCACCTCTCGGAGCATGGTAAGATATATTTTGCTATCTTAACCATTGCTTATCCTGTCTTTGTTGTTGATTCATACCTGTGCCCTAGTACGGCTGCTAAAGGTCACTAAAGCAGGTAACCTTGTATGCCCGGAGTTTATTTAAATATACCTGCATGTGCTTATCTGTTACCTGGGTCTCTGTTGTGTGTTTTTATGTATCAGTCTTGAGGTGGAAGAGGAGTGGACCTACTGAGGGTTTTGACACATAATTTCTTTGGGTGTGTGGTAACCTTGTGTGTTTGACCACAAGAGAGGAGGTGTCGGGTACGCGTCACGGTAGTGTGACAGCGGGTGCCGTAACTGTGTGGGTTACTCAGTGGTCTGTACTCAGAGCCCACCGAGATAGACTGCTATGTTATGTCCTAAATGTGTGTCTGTAAGTTAATGTTTGCCATTCATAACAGAAGGTTGGGGTTTTTGTTAAGGGTTAAGGAAAGTCTGGACAGCAGCCTGTGAAGTGTCTTAGATTCCTGTTAGGAAGGACAGAGAAGGGGGGAGGAGATGGGTCAGACACTGATAAGACCCCTAGAAAGGAATGGTTAGCATGTGACCTGGTTTGCAGAGAGAGAAAAGGAAAAGTATGTGGAATCAAAGATAAGGAGGTATGAGAAAAAAAAAGAGAAGAAAGATGTCTTAGTTGACAAACATGTGCTTGAGGACAGCAAGAAGTTTGGTATAATGTTAAAGCCGAAGTTATCCACAAAGAGTAGTGGACAGAACAGGTATTGCTACAGGGGAAAAAAAAAAAAAATAAACTGTGTTTATGTGTACCATTAACCACTTCCTGTCCGGACACTTTTACCCCCTTCCTGTCCAGGGCAATTTTCAGCTTTCAGCGCTATCACACTTTGAATGACAATTGCGCGGTCATGCAATACTGTAACCATATGAATTTTTTACCATTTTTTTGAGACAGATAAAGCTTTATTTTGGTGGTATTTATTCACCGCTGGGATTTTTATTTTTTTTACTATGTAAATGAAAAAGTCCAAAATTTTGAAAAAAAGTGTTTTTTTTTTTATAAAATTTTGCAAATAAATAATATTTCATCCTAAATCTTGGCCAAAATTTATTCCGTTTTTTTTTTAGTAAAAAAAAAAAATCCAAATTAGTTTATAACCAAACATTATAATTTTTAAACATTTTTTTTTACATTTTTATTTTATATTTTTTTATATTATTTTTTATTTTTAATTTTTACATACTGTCACCCTAGCAGTACAGTGTCACCATGGTGACACTGTACTACTTGTGGGGGATGATGAAGATTTTTTTTTTTTTTTTTTACACTGAATTGCTTTTACACCCATATAGGATGTAAAAGCAATCATTTCTCTTTCTCTCTGTCTGCATTCTTGCAGTCATTGAGAAATACTGAGTGAGCTGTGATTGGTCACAGCTTGTCACATGGTACAAGGCTGTTGTGAATGGCCCTGTACCATGTGACCTCTGTGATCATTCACAGATTTCACACGTAGTAAGCAATGATGTCACAAGTGACATCTTGCTTACTACTTTTGCATGTGATCACTGATTCGCCAATCAGTGATCACATGACCGGGACCTCGTACAGAGGTCCCGTACGACGATCGGTGTTTCACTGTGTCCGGGGGACACACAGCGGGGGCACCGATCGCAGTGGTGCGCGCTCCTAGGGAGCGCGCACAGCTAGAAAAGGCGGGTGCCGTTTAGGAACGGCAAACCCGACCTTGGACTGTCACCCCGCCCTACCGACCTGCCGTTTATAAACAGCAGGCGACGGCAAGAGGTTAATGTGTTAAAAATATTGAAAAGGATTACTGGCATGTACATATTGTGAAGGAAGTGAAGCAGTTAAAGTTATCTAAAGTAGCGAAAGTTTGTAAGCTGAAGGTCAGGACTGGCATAAATTATTGTAGGAACAGAGAGGAATGTTATGTGATGAAGGTTTGCTGAACGTGACAGAAGTTTTGTACAGAACTGGAAAAGTGTTGTATAAAGAAGGATAGTTGGAAGAAATTCAAGAAAATGGCAATTGTATAATGTATTTGTATCACAAAATTGTAATTGGAAGTTTGCTAAAACCACCGCCCTATGTTGGAATGTGGGGTGGAGGAGGGGAGGGACAGCCCAGCCCTTTGTCTAACGCTTACTTTATGCCCACCACCCCAGCCCTGCCCAGTGCACTTCCTGATGGCAGCCATCTTGCTGCTCCTGCTTTGTCCCTTCCTGCCCAGTACACTTCCTGCTAGCAGCCATCTTGCTACACCTGTGTTGTCACTTCCTGCCCAGCCCAGTGCACTTCCGTTCGCCGGCCATCTTGGTACACCCGGAAGGCCTAAATAAGGCATATACCCAGTTCTCCCTGTTCTAAAAACCAGGATGCTTCCTACCACACTCCCGTTTTCCCCAATATGGAAGTGTCACCTTCACAAGCCGGATACATGAATGACAATGCATTCGAGTCGGATGATCAACAACCTCAAGCAGGAAGGATGCCGATAGGTATGACTCCCAAACCTATGTCAGATGTCCAATTGAATGACGATGCATCTGAATGGAGTTGATCGACAGCTGCAAGCGACAAGGGCGCCAATAGATTTGATTCCCAAACCCACGCACAGTGGAGTACAACCTAAACAGGAACAGTACACAAGACAACACCGACATTGAAGATTACCGGAAGGGGCACCGTAGTGTATGTCGCTTTTACCCCATCACAAGCAGCGGCCTTAGTGACGAGTCTGAACTGACCCAGAGAAACAGCCAATACCCTTTCACCGCAGGGTAGTATGCAGATACAAGAAACTTACTCAGCTGCTTGGAAAGACCTGCTCAGTCTACGCCAAATTAAAGCAGGACATGTTTTCTGGCCAGTTATGCAGATGGGCTTCAATGATGCCCTGCCTGACAAGTGCTATTTCCTATTCTTCAGGCGTGGAGTTTTTGTGTCCAGCTCCACGACTAAACAAAGGAGAAATTGGCGGATCAGACTACCACGATTCAAAGACATCACCCAAGATAAAGGGGGTCTGTGGAGAAGTATTATGCCAGACTCATACAGGCCTTTGATGATCTGGCTTCTCTCAATATGAAAAGGCACAAAACACACATGCTCTCAACTGCTTTTTGTCTCATGGCTCAAAGAGGAATATCAGGAAAGGTCTGATGGTGGCCTGCCCTGAATACCGCTCTATGAAGATGTCTGTGATGACTGTTGGTGGCCAGAGGCATAGAAAATAAAAAAAAGGAAAAAAAAAAAAACACCCCTCATGGTGGTCAATGACGAAGATCCCACCTACACTCGTCCACCACCCATTGCCAAAATATCAGGGAAAGGATCACCTGTTATAACTGTGGGAAACGGGGACACTTTAGAAGAGAATGCAGAGCCCCAAGATATCCTAGACAAGACAGGGACCCCCGAGAAGGGCAGCGTGAAAATATCAACCACCACGCCCCAACTCTCGTTAGGAAATGGCAAACCCGTGTCACCCCTTATGGCAGTATTTTCAAACAAGACTGGGGGACCGTGTAGCTGTAAATCCAGGATATTCCCCAACCTAAAGCAGCTAAACAACTGCATGCCTTTCTTGGACTCATATCCTACTGCAGGGCATGAATCCCTGATGCATCAGTCCTCATGCAACCACTCTATGATGCTCTCAAGTCTGTGCCATTTACCTTGTCAAGCAAGGCCATGGATAAATTTTCTTTCTGCTGAAGCAAGCAATATCCACCGCTCTGCCTTGGGACTTCCAGATTAATGAGAAACCTTTCAAACTGTGTCAGAAAAGCAAGGCCACGTCACGGGGGTCCTAGCTCAAGAACATGGAGGGCAAACCAGACCCATTGGGTACTATTCTTGTCATTTGGATCCCGTAGCTAGGGGTGGTCCTTCATCTCTAAGAGCTGTCTTCTCTGCTCAAGCACTATTGGACAGAACTTTCAGACCTCGTTTTACCACACCCCATTTCTTCTGGCACCGCAAGACATTGCTGCTATCCTGAATCAAGTACAACCCCGACACCTGTCCACGGCCAGACATCTACGGTTGCAAATCTCCCTCCTCATTCCTGACAATGTGACCCTCCAAAGGTGTCTCACTCTCAACCCAGCCACCCTTCTGCCATTTTTCGAGGGGGGGAGAAGAAGGTGAAGAAGGAGACC